AAAAGAAATAAAGAAAAGTGTATAGAGTGGCAAATGAGCATCCCCCAAATCACAGCTTGTGGGTGGCAAAGACAGAAACACACTCAGGTCTGGCTGGCACCAAAGTCCTTTATTCCACCAGTGAGCAGTGGGCAGTGGGCTTCTTCTCTGTTCACCCACACACATGCTCATGACTGGCCAGACTCTGAGTCTGAGAGTCTGTGTTGTCTCTGTGCCAGCTCTTTAGAATCGAAGACTTAATATCAAAAACTCAGGTCTGCAGAGCCCATGGCCATGAACCAGAAATGAATTAAATGTGCAGGTGATTTAAACTAGAGCAAAAGGCAGCCCTGGGAGCTGGGACTGGAAGGGTCAGAGTAAGGAAGGAACATAGTCTAGGGGCCAGGACCCACAGCCCCTGACCCCACTTTGTGCACTGAGAAGTCCCCACAGGTCAATTACCATAGCGGGCTGGATGCATGTGAGCTGAACCTTCCTCCCCATAAACCAGGCTTTGCCCCCAGGATCTTCTCCAAGGTTTGCAGATTCTAAAAATTCCAGGTTTCTTCCAGGAGCCACCAGGATAGAGAGTGAATAGGGCATTGTCTCTACTGCCCAGAGCCCAGGGCCATAGGAGAAGACACCCAGAGCAGCTGCAGTTTGGGACTCGCCCTGGAAGGACTCTGGTGACCCCTCACACATGCCCACAGAGCTTCACCTGCTTTGCCTCTAGAGTAGAGCAGAACACATGGGGATGGGGTGGGAAAGACAGATGAAGTCATCACACTAAGGGTAAATATCATCCAGGAAGCTGTTGGTTTAATTTCATAAATGTATTTATAAGTATACACTGTGTTAGGGTATAAATTTTTGCATCTCCCTCTAAGGAGAAGGAAAATCCAGTTCTACAAAAACTGAGGTTCTTGTGGGTGCCCCAGTTGTCCCCATCCTCACCAGAGGCACTAGGAGCTGAGGGAACCCATGCCTCCATTACTATCCAACGTGGGTCTTCTTCTTTCTCTCCCCTGTCACAGGCAGCACTGACACCGGGAGGTGGGATCTGGGTCTTCATGGAGCTCAGAGGATCCTTCCTTTCTCCAGGCTCAGGCAAACCCTGGAGTGGGGCAGGGTGGCCTAGATGACCCCTTACATGGTTCAGTCAAGTGTCTGAGAGCCTCTTGTGTCCTGACCTGCAGCCCCACCCCTCCCTCTTCCCTGCAGGGCCCAGCAGGAGAGTGGGACAGCAGCCCCAGCTCCAGGTGATCACCTCATCTCAAGGTGCCCGCTGCCTGCAGGCCTCTCAGTTCCCATCCTGCCCACCTGGGCTGTGGGGGTTCCAGGCTGAGCCAGGCCTCAGAGCCAGGACAGAGTCACCACCAAAGCCTCCCAGCAGGGAGCTCTGTGGTCCCTGATAGCCCCTGCATTGTCTGGGACATTGAGGCCATTGAACCCTGGAGGCTCAGCCCCTCTGGTTCCCGCAGGGGGTGATGGAGGACACAGCTCCCTCCAGCCCTCCAAGCCTCCCTTGCAGACCTCTCAGGAAGACAGTCATTTTCCTGTTCGCACTATTTGCTGCTGGAGTAAGGGACCACTGGACTGGACGACACCCCAGAAGAGGAGTCTCATGGGGTTTCCTGCAGAGTCTTATCTGGAGAATGAAGGTAGGGCACATCCCTGAGCCAGGTCCCAGCTGCCAACTACCCCTCACCCCGTATATGTGTATGTATTTGTTATCCACATCTATAACTATAGTAAGTTCATTAAGAAAAATAATTAGTTTCAGTAATAAATTCCCTGAACCTTAGTAGCTTAAAACAGTAAATGCTTATTATCACAGTTTCTCTTACAACTTGATCATAGGAAAACAAAATAGCCCAATTTAAAAAGAGAAAAAGGATTTAAACAGACATTTCTTCAAAGATATTTGAATGGCCTATAAGCAAAAAGATACTCATTATTGATAATTAGGGAAATACACATTTAAAAGAGTAGTATGAGGAGATACAACTTCAGACTCACTGGAATGGCTATAATAGAAAAGACAGACAACAGCATGTGCTAACAGGAAGACAGAGAAATTGGAATGCTACACTTTGCTGGAGGGAATACAAAATGGTTCTGCTACTTTGAAAAATAGTTTGGCTGTTTCTTGGAATATCAAGCAAGGAGTTACACTTTGGCCCAGCAATTTTATTCCCAGGTATATATCTAAGAGAAATGAAAAATATGTCTACACAAAAATTTGTATTTAAATATCTATAGTGGCCTTATTCATAATAGCCCAAAAGTGAAAGTAACCAAAATTTTTATCAATGGATAAATGTGGTATACCCACATAATGGAATACTGTTCAGTCACCAAAAAAATAAAGCATTCAAGAAATATTGTATTGTATAGCATTCAACGACATGAAATATGTTTTATATTATATTGTATGTATTATTGTGTTATATGTATTATATATTATATGTACATACACATTTTGTATCATTCAACTATATTAAAAGTTAAGAATAGGCAAACCTGTACAGACAGTACAGAAGTGGTTGCCTAGGGGTCAGGATGGAAATGTATGATTTCAAACAGGTATCAGTTGTCTTTGCAAATGATGGAAATGTTCTAAAATTAGAACATTAGTGATGTATGCACAGCTCTGTACATATACTGAAAACCATTGGATCATTAACTTAAATTGGATGAATTTTATGGAAGGTAAATAATATTTCAATGAGGGCTGTTTTCTTTTTTAATATTTACTTTTTAGGTGTAGTTGGACACAATACCTTTATTTAACTTATTTATTTTTATGTGGTGCTGAGGATCGAACCCAGAGCCTCACATGTAGGAGGTAAGTGCTCCACTGCTGAGCCACAACTCAGCCCTGTTTTCTTTTTTTTTAAAGAAAAAGAGTTAGTGTGTTGATACACACAATAATGATAAATCTCAAAATAATTGCTGAGTGAAAGAAGCTAGAGGAGGATAAAGGCATATATTTATGATTCCATTTATACTAGAAAATGCAAACTGATCTGTACTGACAAAAAGCAGATCCCTGGCTGCCAGTATACAGGGGTGGAGGAGGGGATGAGTGAGCGGGAGGGGTTGTAAAGAGGCAGGAGGAAACTTTTGGACTGGACCGTTTCATTACCGTGTTTGTGATACTGGTTTCATATATATGAGGACATGTACTTTAAGTGCAGTTTATTGTATGTCAATTATACTTCCATAAAGACTTTCTAAGAAATTATTTAATGGTAATAATGCTCTGATTTGGCATTGAAACCAAGTTATATGCAGAAAAGCATAGAAATAGAGCAATGGACATATTTTTTTATTAGTGAAACCCATATTTACTAGAGAGGAAAGGACCACAGTCGAATATTTTCTTGCAAAGCAATAATATTTGTGGGATACAAAGCAAATGAAGCTACATTGTTATATTAGCTTTGTTACTGAGAATGTGTGCTAAAGTATTTTTGCCTTAGCTATAAATATTAGAATACAATATTATGCCAAGCAATGCAAGTGAAGGGCAGGGAAAATGGCCAAAGCCCTGATGATAGAGGATAAGACATTTAAGGCCATGAGAAGCTGGTGAGAAAAACTGCATTGTGTAATTCTACCATTAAAGCATTATATCATTTTTCTTAGAATCATCTAAAATAAAGACGTGTCTTACAATTGATGGGGACTTCTTCAGTGATCCCAAGATAGAGAAGGCCACAGGCACTCTAAGAGCACACTCTCAGAGAGGTGGCCTAAGAGAGCAGAGCTCTAGGGCTAGCAGGAATTTCTTTCTTTTTAAGAAAATACACCAACCCTGGCTGGTCCTTGGCTCTCTGCTCTTTAATAGGAGCAGAACGAAGGAGCTTGTGAACATCTTTTGCCCCCTGGTGGAAACCTTTAGAAGTGCAGTCTTACCTCCTGCATGAAAATCTGTTAGAGCTGGAAATATACCCACTTAAAGTCATTTTCAGTCCTTTGTGTTTTTTTGACATGGATCCCTGGCTTTGCATTGATCACACAGTGAGTTAGTAACAAGAATTCCTAGATATTTTTCAGGGTCACATTTAAATTGTGACATGCGTGATCTAAAATCTTCAAATCGTAGAACCCTGAAGTTAAATGAGACCAATGACGTCACTACATTCAGTATATCCTCTGCCCTGCAAGCAGCAATTGGCAGAAGAAGATCCCTAGCTTCAGAAAATCACATTCTTGACTTAGGGGAGTTATTCAACCTCTCTGAGCCTCAACCCTGAAACATCAATTCACTTCACAGAGTTTGTGCAAGGATCAAACAAGATAGTATATGTCAGAGTCTGCACACTCAAATACTTTGAGCCAAGCAGTGGAGACTGCACTCCAGACAGCACAAGCCCTTATCTAAAAAGAGCATTCCATATTCTTTCTGAGCAGTTTGGTTGCAAATTCTTAAAAATATTGCATAACCCAGAAATTATATCTATGTTGTCATTGTTCAACCTCCAAAGGGTGGAAAGTCTCAACAGGTGATCAATAATGGGGATAATTAACGGGGCAGCAGGTCCTCAGGACCAGTCCTCCCAACCTCAACTATTTCTGACAGGCATTGATGCTGCAATATTCTTCAGTGTTCCCTATGTGCTGCAGGGAACAAAGACTAGCAAGAAAATAGTCCCCAGCCTTGCGGGCTCTTAGTCAAATGAGGAAAATTACAACAGCTAATGTTATGGAGCATTTACAAAGTCGGGCAATGAGCTAAACGTTTCATGTGAATGATTTCATCTAATCCTTATCCAGACCCTGTGAGATGTTGTCTATTATTACCCTACTTTTGCAAAGAGGCCATCTGAATTGGAGGTTGAGTGACAAACCCTTTATCACCCTTACATTTCCAGCCTTGGTTCCACTGGGGATGCCAACCTACCTCCCAGGAAGACATATTCTCTAAAATCACCTAGAATAAACATTTTTAGCACTACATTTCTACTCTGTATCTGAATTATCATACATTTTATATACATTTTTATAACAATCTGTTGGTTTGCACTTAGCCACTCTGGTGTTTTATTACACTGGTTTATTACAGTATCTGTGGGGAATAGACCAAACTCCCTGTAGACACCAAAATCCAAGGATGCTCTCAAGTTCCTTATGCAAAGTGACATAGTATTTGCACAAAACCTTTGTACATCTTCTCATAGACTTTAAATCACCTCTAGATTTCTTATCATGCTTAACAACGTGAATGCTATTTAAATAGTTTTTATACTACATTGTTCCAGGAATAAAGATAAGGAAAAAGTCTGTACATGTTCAATACAGGCACAATTTTTTCAAATATTTTCAACAGGTGGTTGATTGAATCCATGGATGTAGAGCTGTGCACAGAGAGGGCCAACTGCAGTTTGATTTTTAATGTGCTGAATCTCGGCCTACACCAATGAGCTGTTTTTAAAAATCAGATAGGCTTCTTAATCTCACCGACTTTAAAAGTTTTGGCTTTTATTCCCTTTTATCCCTCCCAGTGGGTATTGTCCCCACCACCAGGATGAAGAGGCAATGAACAAGAGGGCCCATGTGATCCGAGTGCTGCTACTTCCATTTACACAAGGAATGAGCAGCAGGTCTTAGTGATCTGGCTTCTCCCCAACTCCACCGGTTGGCTAGTCAGCTTGGACAGCCATCCTTGCCCTCCATGACAATAGTGCTCAGGATAGGATCCGAAAAATGAAGGATTTGGGTAAAGAGCTCAAAGTTTGTTAGGTTACAAACACTTTGGGGTTCAAGGTGGCAATTCCTTCCAATTAACGACCTCCTATGAATGTAGCTGACTTGAATTTGAAAGCCATATGTATGAGTGTGCAACATTTGTGAATCTTTAGCCTTTCTGAAACTGCCTTGTTTGCTATCATCTTATGCAGTTATACTCAGCATGCTTACAGTCACTTTTGAGACTCCCAGTCATAGGTTTGAATTCACTTCATTCACACAGGCCTTCTTACTGGTCCTTAAACACATTGAGTCTCTTGCCCCAGAGTTTTTGCTATGGTTGTTCCTGCTACCTGGATCAAGCTTCCCCCAGGTACCTTGGGCCTCACACTTTCTCTTCTTGCGAGTTTCTATTTAAGGGTCTCCATACCAGACAAGGTACTTATAGTAGCCTGCATAACCTCGCCCAGCCTGACTTGTCTTCCAGAACTTATCACTACTTGGTATCGTATTATGTTTTGGTTTGGTTATTGCTCTTGCCACTAGAATGTCAGCTCATGAAAGCAAGGTGTGATGTTTACAGATGGAGCCCTAGTGCCTAAAAATCATGCCTGGCACATAGTAGGAGCTCAGAAAATATCTGAAAGAAGTAATCTCACCCGATTACTTCTTTCACAAACGTCTACAAAGGACTTAGAACAAAATCCAATGTATTGCTTTTTTTAAAATGTTTTTTGGTAGTTGTAGATGAACAGCATGCTTTATTTTATTTTGCTTATTTTTATGAGGTGCTGAGGATCAAACCCAGTGCCTCACACATGCTAGGAAAGCACTCTACCACTGAGCCACAGCCACAGCCCCTAATGTACTGCTTTTTCTCCAGGCTTCTACAGTGACCTTTTCTGGGAATGCTACATTCTACCAGGATGCACTTTGACAATTAAAAATCTTAGCATTTCTGGGGCTGGGGTTATAGATCAGTTGGTAGAGTGCTTGCCTTACATGTGTAAGGCCCTGGGTTCGATCCCCAGCATCAAAAAAAAAAAATCTTAGCATTTCTGCTTAGATGAGTTTTGTCACTGGCCTAATCTCTTTGACTAGTTCTGGTTCAGTCTTGTGTTTCTGGGAAATTACTCAATAGATGCTCCTATTACTACATCTTTATTATGAAAGAATGAATTTCATCCGCAAAAATCCTGTCTATCTAAGGTCAGACTCAAAAGATTCCTTTGTGCAGTCAGATTTGCCCCTCAGATTTCTAGGTGGTGTTGAGTTATATGTGAAACCAAAGGTTGGCTCCTCTCCCCTACCTGCTGCCTGCCCTTTCCCTAGTCAGTGCCCTTCTTGTCTTTCAGATGTGGTTTGTGATTTGTGACCCATTGGCCAGTGATGAAGTTAATTTGCTGAACTGTGAACAGCACTTCATGAAAAACTAAAATAAGACATACTGAAAGATGTATTTTATTGACACATGATTTTAAAAGTTTAAAAGCATTGCTTGTGGCCTATATAGGTTCAAAGAAGTTTCCATACTATTTTTCTCTTTGGTTGTTTTCTGAAGGTTCTAGAAGGAGTGGTTTGGCACTCCTGGCCTCACAGTGGGGCCTTCTGTGTTGCAGAAATTGGTCAGTTCTTTTTCCGAAATACTGCCAACTTCAGTGCAAGTGGTCAACACATCATTTTCTTGAACTCTTATCTGTTTCATAAAGCAAATAAGCCTGGACCTTGAAGCTCCCTGCCCCTGCTTCCCATTCAAACCCTGCCCTAGGAAACTCCCGTGTCAGCATGGCTTCCAGTATTCCCAGGCTACAACCCTGGGATGACCCCCACACACACCCTTTTGAAGTACTACCTGAAAAAGTTCAAAATTGTCGAAATAATTTACAGTTTGTTGTAGCTAACAACTGACCTCAGACATCTGAGCCGGCAAGAAGAAAAGGAAAATCTCAGATGAAAAAAAAAAAAAAAAACAGAAGTGAAAAACAGTGAATGGTAAACAGGCAGATCAATGCTAAGGCCAGGATGCACTAGACCTTGACAGGTCCCTAGACCAGGGATCTTGAACTATGACAGTGTACACAAACACAAAATGAGGCATGGGCCCACAGGAACAGGGAGAGGACTGAGTATCCAATTATCCCTGAGATCCCATAGGAAAATTGGCTGAGCATAAAGTTAATAAATTGGCTGAGCATAAAGTCATGGCCATTGGATTTCTAGCCCAGAATCAACTCCAGAACAACTCTCCCCATGAGATGAATCTGTGCTTCCCAAGGTTTTCCACCAAGACCTCCTAAGGCAGAAGAATAAGAAACCAAGAGGGAATGGTCCAAAGCTATTCATGGAACACCAAATTTCTTTGGAGCCTCAAGTTTCCTTTTCAGTTCTGTAGGACTTTTGCATTATAATCCAAAACAAACCAAAATGATGTCAAGTTCTTCAGTGGGTGAGAACTACAGCCCTTCATCTCATATACTGATGCGAAAAGAATGGGGTTGGTTGGGGCCTCAGAGATGACATGGAAGACACTGGTAGAGGGCTTAGAAGTCAGATCTGGAATCAAAACCTAAAAGAGGGCATCCTGTAAGAGGGGGTGAGGCCAGGCAGGATGAAAGTCGCATACATTGCAAATGATTTGGGAAAGCTTGTTCAGAGAGGCAATGTGGATTTAGGGAGGGAAAAACTGTACTGTTAACCATTCTACAAAGCAAACCTGGTGAATGTTGTCTTCTGCATTAATCTAAACTCTCTTGATCTACTGAAACATTTTAAATTCCCACCAACTACATTTAATTTCAATTCAGATAGTATTTATTCATATCAACCAAAAGAAGTAAAAAAAAATCATTGATTATATACAACACATTCTTATCCATTCCATACACATTTTATTGAATAAATTAAAACTTCTTTAACCTATAAACAACATCCTTGCTTTGATCACTTAAAAAAACTACAATCTCATGAAACCAAAAATGCTTAAATGGTTTGGTTCACTATTTATGCCTATAAATATAAAAATCTGACCTGTCAGGACTGGCTTTGCAGTACCTATATTTGAGACATATGGGAATTTACATGGAAGTTGACTCTTTGAATCATGAGATCTAACACTTAGAAGAAAAAATGACTTTGCAACCCCAAATTAGGACTTCATACAAAAAAAAAATCCATTGATGTCTACTCACTTTAAAAATTATGGAGTACTTTTATTTTTCAAAATCAAATAGGACAAGTAAAGAATGAACACTACTACCTCAACTTTTATAAATAGCAAAGCTATGCTTTCACAGCTATAAAAGAATGTTGAGAATGATAATTGTTATTTCCCTGAGAGCATGGTTACTTTGAGTTCAAGGACATGGAGTTTTACATGTGTGTGTTTCCTGAAACCACTGAGACCAGAATGGCTGAAAGCAAAGAAGAAGACATTTATCTGTCAGTGTTTTGGTGAGCTTAACTCCCTGCCTGTCAGACCAGCCTTGACCAGCCTTAACCTCTTCTACAGATTCTACTCCATCAAAGGCTCTGGGTCTTGTTATCTCCATTAGGATGCAAGACCCAACCAGGCAGCTCACAGGCCCCACAGCAAATTGCCCCAACTGTTGGCCCTGCTCTAACTTGTGCCTCAGTTCTAGGAAGTAGGTTCCCTCTTTGTTTCCTTGTGTGCAAGTCCCCTGCTCCTTTATTCTTTCTTGCCCTTCTTGGGACTGGAGTCACACTTACAAACTCCTGGGCCGCAATATCATTTTCTAGACCCTCATCTTCAAAACCTGACCTCCTCCTCCTCTACCATGTCTATCCATGCAGAGGCCCTGCCTCAACATGCCAACTGTGGCAGAACCTCCTTCTATCCCCCCTCTGAGTCCTGGGGTTGTTTCTGGGTTAGCCTCAGCTTGCTCTCCCCATATTGGTGGTACATAACCATTAACTTGGTGCAAACTTGGGATTTTGTTTTATTAACTTGGAATGAAAAGTAGATTTTAAGAGCTTCTAGTGCCTAGAAGCTTAAACTCTGATGACTATACTTGCAAAGTTTCCCCAAAATGACTTGAACTTTTTTTCCTTTCCTAAAAGCTACAGGCTGGCAGCTTCAAATGCAGAACCCTAGATCTTTTTTTGGAGGGGGGTTTTCCAAGGATTGAACTCAGGGGCACTCAGCCACTGAGCCAAATCCACAGTCCTATTTTGTATTTTATTTAGAGACAGGGTCTCACTGAGTTGCTTAGCACCTTGCTTTTGCTGAGGCTGGCTTTGAACTCTCAATCCTTCGGCCTCAGCCTCCCGAACTGCTGGGATAACAGGCATGCACCACTCTAGATCTTCTTAATAGGTAAATCTGTCCCCTGACCCACATTATTATTAAGAACTCCTGGATCTTGAATACCTGTAACTTTACCACAATTCACATGTTTATTGGTGTTACAAAAATCATAGAGACTCCTCCCCTTGTGTGAACTTAGACATTATGAATTACCCCTGAAACTTCAGAACTGCATTTAGAATCAGGTTTATAACTTAGAGATCCTATGTCCTCACTTTCCCAGCACAATCTTAAACACCCCCCCCCCACACACATACACACACACCTCTAAAGAACTGTAAGTTTGCTGATTGCTTCTATCAAAGGACAGTACCCATTGGATCCCTGGCAAGGAACATTCTCTTTCTGAGAGTTGTATGCCAGTGATGTTGTCATTGGATTTCCTCTTTGGAATCTCTTCCCTGAAATAGCCTTTGGACTAAGACTGATTTTTCCTGTAGGTCACAAATGGCTCAGACAGTGATCTGCAAGAGACAAACATGTAAGAAATCACCACTAGTTGACCTAAGTGCACAGCTCTCAGAAGAGACCCCCTTGACAGGCAATCAAGTCTTGGACTCAGCCCCATAAGTATGCATCTCATTTTTGGCTAACTTGAAGAAAAGAAAAATTAGAATATTGATTGGTGGCCCACTTACCCGTTTATTGAGGTCTCTAGGGTAGAGATTTGATTTCCAAGATTGACAAACATGCAATGAACTAGATAACATTGCTGAACTAGATTAAATTGTTGCAGTTGAGAGCTTTGTGAAGGTCATTAGAGCTTGTGGTGCATGACAGTGTGTTCTCAATATCCATAAGTATGTGTGCATTGACCCGTCTTAATTTTCTTCTCAGGGGATAGATCACCTGACCCTAAGGCAGAGCATTTTACACACTAACATGTATTTATATTTATCTTCAACAAGCTAGGCATAAATAGAGATATAATTTTCCAAGTTTTAAATATACATTTACAACATTAAGTTCTTCTGACCATAATTTTTGTTTCCTTTTGTGGAACTGGGGATTGAATCCAGGGGTACTCTACCACTGAGTACATCCCTACCCTTTTAATTTTATTTTGAAACAGGGGCTCACTAAGTTGCCTAGGCTGACCTGGAAGTTGCGATCCTCCTGCCTCAGCCGCCCAAGTCCCTGGGATTACAGGCTTAGACCACCACACTTGACTTGACCTTAACTTTTTTTCTGTAAATTAAGTTCACTATCAACTCTAATACCTCTGACTTCCCAAACCACTGTACATATTGTACAAGCACAATATGCCCCTTCTGACATGAACTAAAACTCTATAAAGAGAACTGAAATCATACAATGAAAATAAAGTACCTGGGGTAATGCAGTTGCTATGTTTTTAACTACAGCGTATGAAACAGGATCTCTTAACCTGTTTCTCTATCTTGGGGATTAGAATGAATTTCCAGTGAGCTCATTTGAAAGTTCTTTTCTTAGAGTGAAGGGCAGACTCTGTTCTTAGAATCAAAATTGAGCCAAGCTTATTCAAAACTCAAGAAGATAGGCTTTAAAATATCCTGAAAACTTCAGGTGAGTGGGTCCAGATCACAGTCTTAAAGTAGAAAGTACACTGTCAAGAAGAATCTGACATTCCTGCAGTGGCCAGCAGTGTTGAGATGTTTACATATTTAAAAAACAATAGTTTGAGTCTCTGGAAACCTCTTTTCTACATTACAGTACAACTGTTGGACATTAAGAGTCCAGGCACCAGACTGTGGTGAAGGTAATTCCATCTGGCAATGTCAGTTCAAGTCCAAAATGGGCCATCCAGTGACCATAAAAAAGAAAAGCTTTGATGCCAGGAGAACAAAACTTTTTATCTCTTTCAATACAAACTGGTCTTCCCAGAACTGCCTCCCCTGTCAAGTGGGACAGCCTATGAGACACTCTTGACAAAAGCCCCCAAAGTCTCCAACACTAAGGATTTCATAAGATTTAAATACAGGAGTGAAAAGGAAAAAAAAAAAAAAGGAAAAAGAAACACCTTTATTTCCCTGCCTTGCTGAGTCAATCTTCTAACAGACTGGCCAGAACAAGACCTGAGTCAGGTTTGGGTTTTGATTTTCCTCCTCTCAGTTAGGCACATGGTGGGGAGGACATTGGCTTTGAACTGGAAAGACTTGGGTTTATACTCCTGGCATAGCTACTTGCTAAATGAGTACCCGGGGGCAAGCCACTTGACCTTTCTGAAACTCAGTTTCTTCTCAGACTAGAGTGACAATATCCCAGCAGGCGGTCATTCCCATGGTTAAATGAGTTAATATAGAAAAAGACCTGGCATAGGGTAGAAGTGTCGCAAATGTTAAATATTACTCTTCTTCCATCCTTCCTCCTGAGGTAGGTCATGCAAACATTCCTGGCCATTTTCAAGTGTTCCAAAGTCGTGACTTGCTAGGTGCCCCAGAGCAAGCCGGGTGCGCTCCCGATTCATGGCCTTAAACACAAGCGGAGCCTGCGGGTGGACACGGATGAAGGGCGCAAGGTAGAACTAAGTGCTCCCGGTGGCGCCCTCCAGGGTCCCTTGTCAGTCACACAGACACAGCTCCGGGCACGATCCTCCGGATGTGGGTGTAGGACTTCCTGATGGTGACGCTGCCGTGGTGCGACACCCCCCGGGGCAGGACGCACTCCTCCGTCAGTTTCTGAGCCTCGGGGTCCCAACACAGTACAGTGGCGATGACCTCGTTCTTCTCGTCCCGCCCGCCGGTGATGTAGAGCCGGTTGTTGCAGGGCGCGATGCCGCAGCTGGCCCGCTCGTGGCTGAGCTGCGTCACCAGGCACCAGCTGTCCTCCAGAGGGCTGTAGGCGTACAGCGCTCTCATGGCCCCTCCTGGAGAGGAAGAACACACAGGGGAAGCATCCTACCATTTTTCTGGGTTTCTATCCCGTTAGCCACTAAAATTCTACTTCCGGTTAGGGCAGGACTCCCATCTTGCCAAGAGAAACAGTGGATTGATGGCCCTTTCCCAGAAAGCCAGGATGCATCCTAGGAGCAGCAAGTTGCCACCGAGATGACTCACAATGTCCTTCCAATTCTGCAGTCGTGGTTTCTAAAGAACAACTGGCTTAACGTAGCTACCAAAATGTACCTTAAGACTGCTCCTGGGAAGAAATATGGTGCCTTTGGAAGATGTGGTCCATAATCCCAGCTCTGCACTTTTTATTCTGTTACCATGGGCACCAAGACCATGGTGGTCCTAAGATGCACATAAAGCATCCGGTAGAGCACTGGTTGATAGAAATCATCCATCCCTGGCAGTAGCCGGGTTGGCATCTCTTCAGAGACTCAGCATGATCTGAGACACAAGCCCAAGGTAACCATCTTGAGATTAGACTTTTGGAACAGTCAGGAAACTAACCATGAACACAGGAGAAATCTAAAGCAAGGGAGAAAAGTGTTTTCCCCTTAATCTGTTCCAATGTTTTGCCCCCAAATGCCTTCTCTGATTAGCTCTCATTCACTGAAGTTATTTATTTCCTGGCATCTTGGCATCTCCTTCATCAGTAGTTCTCTACCCTGGCTGCTCATTAAAATCACCCGGAGATTAAAAAAATAATAATAAGTTGTACTGTTCCCCAGCAACCTCCTTCCCTCCTGAATTCTGATTTCATTGGTCTGGGGTAGGAACCAGTTATCCATAGTTTTTTCAAAAGCTCCCTGGTTATTCTAACTGGGAGCCACCATCCTTAACAAATACATGCCAACTGTGGTCTGGCTGGCTAGACTTTTCTCTCAACTAAATGTAACTTTTCAGAGCCCTTAAAAAGCAGCGAGAGAGAAATTTCCATGAACACAAACTAGGAAGTAATAATAGCTGCCACTGGTTGAGCACTTATTATACCATGCACATTTCAACTTCTATACATTCCTAATGTTTGCAAAACAACTTTCCTCCTGCAATGACTTCAGGCCTCTTCCTCTGGGCCACAGTGTCCATCTGTTTTGTTACCCCTAAACAGTTTTTATTCTGCCTTTAGGACTGTAAAGGAAAATCCACCAAGACCTGAACCAACCCCAACTTTTCTTCCTTTTCAGCTCTACCCACTTCATCCAGGAATTCTCAAGAGAATTATATCTGATCTCTGGCATAGCTGCATGAAGGGGGACCTCAGATAAATAAAAAGCTGTCACTCACTCACCAACAACATAGATGCGGTCCCGGAAACTCACTGCATTGATGCATTTAGCCTCCACAGGCATGGCTGCCTTTAAAGTCCATTTATTGGTGGAAGGGTCATAACACTGAGTTTTGTCTGTGGCCAGTTTTCCATTAGGCCCTCCCCCAATCACATAGAGCTTCTTCTTGTGGCTGGTGGCGGCGAAGGAACTGACATGGACAAGGAGGGGTGCAGCCTGCAGAGGCATGGGGCACAAGAAAAAGGTGTCAGCTATGCTGCCTAAATTGCTGGAAGAACTCACAGGACATATGTCCTGGGATGCAAACCTGGGCATCCTTCTCCTGAACTGACAAGGCCTGTGGGCTTGACTCTCCTTAAGATGTGGAGAGAATCAAAGCATGCATTTCCCAGCCTCCATACAGGCAGGCTAGGGCAAGCTGTGTGTTGGGATGTTCCCACCTGTTTTCCCGAGTCTAGTTCTCAAGGAAGGAGAGGGTACAGGCAGAAATTAGAGTTATATAGATGAAGTCAGCCAAAGTTGGAGGAAAATGATTTTTCAAACATATATATTCATTTACATGTTCATTCAGAAAATATCTGAGTACCTACTATGTGACAGCATTGATTGTCTTTAGTGTTTATATCCAGGAAGAAAAGCTAGTATATGGGTTTAACCAGCCATTTGGGGGCACATTGCAACTTTGGGGATTAAGACAGACTTGTACTTCTACCTTGTAAATCCCAGGATACTAAAAAGAATTTCAAGAGCCTATTACCTATTTGCATAACCCCTTTGAGTCATGGAGTAACTTTATGATGGGACTTGATGATTGGGGAACATGTTGGGCACACCCCCAGAGATGTTAAGGGCTCCCTATATAGCACTTTTCAGGTTGACAGGCCTTTTTTGGATGTTGTGGTGATCTGGGGACCTTTGCTTGTACCTACAGTGACTGTGTTTTATACTTCCCAAAGCTGGAATATGCTCTGATGAGAAGAAAGAAAATTTGAACTTAAGAATAACCTGGAACTACAGGAGGCGAAGTCACTTTACTTTTCCTGGGTATGACATACACCTGAGGTCACATTGAGAGTCTTACATGTGGGCATGTAAATGGTTCATCATTAATGGGGAAATAAATAAGGGCTGACTTCTAAACATGACCAAATGACTCTAGGTTCACAAACAGTGCAGTGTGCGGATGCCCGCATGCCTGGTGTGGAGACGAATCTCATGGAATGCATCTGAGGGGACAAGATTCTGAGCCAGACATGTGACCATGGGATCTACCATCTCAGGGCAGGGTAAGCCTCCCCTCCACAGCCTCCACACAGAGGGCTCTGGCTGCCCAGAGAAAGCCTCCCCACCTGGAAGGACATTATTGCTTTGCCTTGATCAGCAATGCTGAAGCCCTGACTCCTAGGGAAGGGAATGTTCAGAGCCACCAAAAATGTTCTCCATAGGAGCAAGGCAATCAAAATGCTGGCCACCGTCATAGGCATGTGCCTTTCTTTTTTTTTTTTTAGCTCTGAAGTAATAATACAGATAGAGTTAGTCATAGAAATAATCTCCCATACCTCCGACCAGCAGTTGTGGAAGGGGTCGTAGGTCTCCACATTGTTGATCCTCTGTAAGCCATCAAAACCTCCAATGACATAGACCTTGCCACCCAACACCACCATTTTATGCCTCCAGCGGCCGATGTTTAAATATTCAATCTGAATCCACTTGTTGATTGAAGAATTGTATTTCCAAACATCATGCTGTGTTTCTTTGCCACCTATAAGAAGTAACAAAATATTTAAGAAACCACCAGATGAGTCAGAAATGCAGCTTCTCCCATCATTTCTTAGAACTCCTAAAGCACTAAATCCTCATGCCAGCCTCACTCCAAGGGGAGACAAGAGAAATCCTGAAGGTGAATATGGTCTATGGCAAGACTTGGGGGAGACAAAGCAAATACAGGGATCTGGGGGTGGGGTGGGTGGACCAGGAGGGGAGCCATGGCCTCATGGTGTGCAGTGCCACATCAGTGTCACTGGAGTTCAACCTGGGTGAGTGGGGAGGCAGAGGGAGCCTGGACTCTGTGTTTTTGCCCACAAGGAGCAGGGAGTGAGACCGGGCAGAGATGGCAGGACCTTGACCACCTGGTAAATTAGAAGGCAGCTTAAGTTCTAAGTTTAAACAAAAGAGCAAAGACACAAATTTGGAAAAATCAGCAAGAAATCTTACAAAATTCTCTTGGTTCATAGCTCTGATCTAGTAAATATACAAGTGGGACTTGCCCTTTTCTAAAATTAATTTTTGTTATAAAGTAAGAGGTTCTCACAATAGTTCCTTTGAGAGTGAATCGGTCAATATTGAAGACAACTCTCTTGATAAACAGAAAATACATAATTCATCAGTTAGTGAGAGAGACCAAGACAAAGGAGGGCTGCCTTTTGGGGTGACTTTAATAAAACATTTAAACACCTTTATGTTTCCATTTCCCCACCAGCATGCAGCACCACCAACTGCTTGAAGCAAAAGACTATATTTATCAGACTTATGAATGTGCACTAGTGGGGCAAAGAAAAATATCACTGACAATGTTCTGGGTCACAGGTTTAAGTGTTTCTCTAGGGTGGAACCCTAAAGTGGGATTTCTAGGTCAGAGGCATGAGCACACACCAAGCATCTTTGGGAAGCTATGCTGGTTGACCTTTCCTCATGTCCCACCCTCAGCTGGCAGGGGAGAGTCCCCCTGCTCCTCTCTCTGCTATCCCACTTTGGTTTTCCCTGACTCTAAGGGAGGCTGAGCTTCCTTTTCTCTGAATTTCTTATTCATTATACTCTGACCATTTTTCCTTTGGCTCATACACCTTTTAGAAGTCTCTATTCAAAACAGTATGATATTGATCCCATTTAGGTAATGTCAAAGATTATAAAGTAAGTATAAACTTTCAGAGAATATATGCAATCTTTATTTAAAATAGGAAAAAAGCTCTATGATTTTATTTCTGGATTTTAAAGAAAATCTGACTAACTGGAAAGCATAGTGTATGCGTGGGTGTGAAGACATGTTATTGCAGGGATACCAACCCTCCCTCAGGGGATCTGCATACTCAGTGCCTGAAGGACTTTTTAAAGGGAACTCTACAGGATAATTTTAAATTTCACTGAGAAAAGAAAATTTAGGATGATTATTTATTTTTTTTTTTTTTTTGGTATTTTTGTTTGTTTTTCAGGGCTCTTATGTGCTCTACTGCTGAGCTGCACACTCATTCCAAATGCACAGTCACTCTGATTGGCTCCCTGAAGGCCAATTTAAAGTATACTTTTCCAAAAACTGTTGTTGTTGTTGTTGTTGTTGTTGTTTTTCTGGTGCTGGGGAGGAAAGCCAGCGCCTTCTTGCACATGCTAGGCAAGTGCTCCATCACTGGAAAAACTTCTAAGAAATATTTGAAAAAAAAAAGAATGAAGTAGGCTTTCCTCGGCAAATATTAAAATATGCTTAAAAGCTATTAAAATAAAAACACTACAGTATGAGCACAAAAGTAGACAAACTGATTAATTAATAACAAGGATACAAACAGGACTAAAATATATAGAATTATTTAACAAATGTTATTAGAACAATTTCTATTCATTTGGAGAAAAATTAAGTTAGATACCGATTTCACATTACATTTAAAATAAAAGTCAAATGTAACTGCTGTAAAAGTAATTGGGGAATATATAAGAAACCATCTTAATAATCTTGGGGAGGGGGGGAAGATTTCTTTCTTTTTTTTTTTTTTTTTTTTTTTTTGGTATTGGAAATTGAACCCAGGGAAACTTAACCACTGAGCCACATCCCCAGCACTGTTTTATATTTTATTTAGAGACAGGATCTTGCTGAGTTGCTTAGGATTTGGCTAAGTTGCTGAAGCTGGCCTCAAACTCACAATCCTCCTGTCTTAGCTTCCCAAACCGCTGGGATTATAGGCATGCACCACCGTCCTGGCAAACAGGGAGAAGATTTCTAAGCATGACATGAAACTCGGAATTATATAGGAAAGAAAATGACTATATAAATATAAATCAAAGTTAAAAAGACAACCATTATCTGTTTGCAACACAAAAGGCAAAGGATACATAATAAGACCTCCCAAATATTAGTAAGAAAAAGACAACAATCAATAGAACAGCCCAAGAGTATAAACAGATAATTTTTTATAATAAACGCAATTAGCTAATAACTATGTAAAAATATGTCCAACCTCACCAATGCTCCAAAAGTATAAATTTAAACATTTAGTCTATTAAAAATGTAAATGATTGATAATAAAAATTGTTAGCAAGGATGTTGAAAATGGGCACTGTCATCCAACACTGATTGAACAACAAATTGATACAAACTTTCTGGAGGACAATTAGCAATATATACCAAATTTCTCTATTCACAGACCTTCTGACTGCTTCCAGGAACTTTCCAAAGAGGAGCACAAGTATATAAAGTTTAAGTGTTTAAGAATGCCTACTGGAGTGGGGTTTTTTCCCCCCAAGGAGATTTTAAAAAAGAAAGTTGTAAAAAATGATGTTTTTTTTTTTCATTCAATAGACTGCTTTACAGCTGGCAAAAAGAAGAGCAGTGGTGTCAGGCCTGGTAGCACACTCCTGTAATCCCAGCAACTTAGGAGGCTGAAGCAGGAGGATCACAAGGTAGAGGCCAGTCTCAGCTACTTAGTGAGATGCTATCTCTAAATAAAAAATAAAAAGGCCTGGGGATGTAGTTGAGAGGTAAAGCATCCCTGGGTTCAATCCCCACTACCAAAGAAGGGAAAAGCACTGGTGAAAATGATAGGTCTCATGGAGCTCTCACCATGTAGCTGACATGTAGAATGTCACTTAACATACATACATCCATTGTGCCAACATGTAACGATACCCAGGTATATTGCTAATGGAAGTACACGTTTCTGTTGATTTAACTGTGTAGACAAGCATGCTTGCATGTATTGCTGGTATCATTTTAAAATGAACAATAAATTCAAGAGGAAAAGGACAGTGGTAGAATAACGTGCTGTATAAATGGCAAAGATGGATTATGACCACCAACCCTGTTCCCCACTCCCTCCCCCCACACAAGGCTAAACGACATTTCCCAGGACACCTGTATGCTGGGAGAGAAGGGCACACAGCTAGTCTTTGCCAATGGAATGTGAGCAGAATCGAGGTGCTCTTTCCAGGCTGAGAGGCTTTTATGAGGACATATGCCTTCTCAACCCACTGGGTTTCTCTGTCTTCCCTAAATGAAGGCCACATGTGGGAAATGGAAGCATCACAAGATGGAAGAAAGCTGGGTCCCTGAGTGCCTGAGTGGAAGCAGATGGACCCCTCCCCTCACTCCCACATTCTATCATCTTAATTCACTGAGATTTAGGATTGCTATATCACTAATACTACTTACCCCAAAACAATATCACTATTTTTGTAAAAATATAGAATTATAATGGCACAGAGAAACTACCTATTTTCTATTCTTTGTATTGTTTGAATTTTCTATAACAATTACAAATATTTCTACAATATAAAATAAAACTAGAACCTAATAGATGGTATGAATATTTACAAAGAAGAGCAGACTTGCCCTTCACTTTGAAGGAAACCAGCTTGGGAAGCTGCTCTTCCCAAACAAGTTCATTTGCAGAAAAGCCTCCAAGGGTGGGAAGGGATGTTCAACTCTTCCCTAGGGTCCCAAGAAGGGTTGAGTTTTTTGATGTGAGGATGAGAGCCTGGGACTCAGGCTCAGCACCTGGGTTGGGATCCTGCCTGACACCTACCAGGGTGTGACCCTAGTTATATTCTAGAACCTCTCTGAGCCTCAGTTTTATCCTATCTACCTTACAGAATCAATGTGAGAGCAAATGATTAAGTGTTATTAAAGTAGATTCATCTACTATGCAATAAAAAATGTTGAGACTATGTCATTCAATAAACATTGATTGAATGTTTACTCTGAAGTCAGGCATAATGCTAGTGGCTGGGGACACAGTGTTGACTTGCATGGCAACTTCAGGTCTAATTGAAGTCAGCCATAAAGTAATTGTGAATAATTGACAATTTAGCAAGAAAAATGTATGCTTTTCATATTACTTCAAAGTCTCTCAAAATATGACCTAATAAACTTAGGAGGGGGTCAGGTTTGGGAGAAGAGCAGAGGTTTTCATTGCTTACTATATTCCCACACCTGGTTCAGAGTCCTATGCTAGCTTGTAGCAGACCCTGAATAAACCCTGGTATCATTTCTTCCTTTTCCCAGAAGGACTTGACCTCTCTGCCTGCTCCCCTAGATCCCAGTACAATGCTGCTCACGTTTTAGAGTTTATTAGTTAATAATGCACTCTCCAGGTAAGACTACCTGAGCTCCTGGTTCCATGACCTGACCCAGTCAGAGTTACATCATTGCCAACTCACAGTCATTCTCATAGGATGGTTCCCTGGCTCTCACTTGGGAAAATGTGGCATGCTATTGCGGAGTATGGGCTTGCTTTGGCTCCACATGGCTCCTGCTTACCTGAGATGTAGACCTCATTTTTTAATGTCACGCATGCAAACTCCACCCACTTCTTATTCTCAATCTCCAGCTCATGCTCAGTCAATGGGAGCTTGGCCACCTCCAGGCGACTGCGCCTCAGGGGATCCAGGCAGGTTACCTCTGCCACAAACCGTTCGTCCTTTGTACAGCCACCAATGATCATGAACACCTCAGATTGGAATTCGTGCATCCTGGGCTTGGTGCGCTCCGAAATGATCTGAAAATCAATGGGGGACATATAGGCAGGATAACATGATGAAGCACAGCTCAGGCTGTGAAGCCATATGGAGCAGGTCCCAATTCCAAAATCTGTATGTATGACCACGTGACTTCACCTCAGTGTGCCTCTGTGTCATCTATACAATGGAAATTTTAGTGTTAACTACCTTATGGGTTTGTTGTGAGAATTAAGTAGCTTGATATATAGTGTGCTTAATCTTGAGCCTGGTGTGTAATGTGTACTCAATAAATGTTACCTATTGGGTTTTCTTTTATTTTGTTTTAAGAAGACAGGGTCTATTTGCCATCAAATGTACTTACTGCCCTCTCCCATGCTTCCTACCTGGTCTGAAGCCTTAAATTCTTGAATTTCATTTTGGGCTATTTCCCAGTTCCCCTGATTTCAATTTCTTAATATCTCAGATTTTGCTCTCCACCAACCTCCTTTTGGAAGGAAAGTCCTTTACAGTGACATATAGAGCAGAAACTTAGGAGGAAAAAGAAGCAGAGCCAGAGAGGCTGGGGAACTGGTCCTTACACAAGTTTATGACCCTTCAGAGACTTGAATAAGGAACTCCACACCACAGGTATTTGAATCCAGTTGTAAAACCAGGGGTTTGGAAGTCAAGTACACTGGGCTTCCATCACCTGTGGCCATGTGACTTTGGAGAAGTGATATAGTCTCTGAAAAATGCTTGTTACTGGTTCTGTGACTTTAGGTCATTGTGGACACTCTTGATGTCATGAGGTAGAGTGGGGCACCTGGCACATACACAACCCTCATCAGATTGTCCTGTCGGTGGGAGCAGTAGCAGATGTCAATGGATATCACTAGGAAAGGAAGAGCTGCCTCTTCCTGGTTGCATCCAATCCTTGGTGCTCAGTGGGGAGGTTCCTTGGGCGTACTGATGAGAGTCAGAGAGGTAGTGCCCCCTTGTCCACCGCCAAAGCAGCCACTGTTTCCTACAAAGTTAGGCTGATCTAACAGTTATAGAACTTTGATTTTGCTCACTGGTGTTGACAAATTGGTTACATTACCAAAGACTGAGTCCTTACAGGGTGAATTCAATGACCACAGTACACCCAAACTTGACTTTTCCATGAGTCTTTATTTCCTTGTTTTTCTGTCCCAAAGAATCAGCTCCAGTAAATTCTTGAGACTGGACCATGGCCATAGAGTTTGCAGCAGGACAAACCCTAAGCAATGGGCTGAGCCTGAGGGCATCAACAGTAGAAAGTAGGAAGGTCAGGAGGGATGCTCCAAGGAACTTGGAGTCAGTTAGTTGAAGACACCAAAGCAGCAGGACAGGATCTAAGCAATGAGTTGACACCAAAGACAAACTTTGACATTTTGCAACTTTCCTTCCAGCTACCAACCCTAGTTCCTGTCCCTAAATTTCCCCTACCTACGTCTGAGACACAACATCCAGCACCAATCTGGTCCTCTTTCAGAGGAGATTTAGGTGTGGTTGGGTTTTGTGTAAAGGACAGCATCATCCTTCAGAACTGGTTCCTCTGTGACTCTTATTTCAATTCTGACAACCAGGCCTCAGCCTTCTCTTGGAAGCTTCCTGTCTTATGCACCAACAACCTTCTGGGCAGTGGAGGCTGATGGGGACCTGGACTGGCAATGGCCTTACTTCCTGGCTCCCAGGGCTGACAGGGTATTCTTTGCTCCTGAATGTCAAATATCGGTGTAAACTAAAATTGTGGGTTTCAACACCAACAACTGGAGCTTATGGGTTTCTATACGCATAGAGTGAATGAGTGAATGGGGGGATGGATGGATGGATGGATGGGCAAATTAGGTAACCCAGCCCCTTACATGGATTATTGTTTCCATTCTAAATTATTGTGGTAACCATCCTCCACAATGGCCACAGTGATTCCTGCTTTCCAGTAATCACACCTTATGTAGTTCTCGTCACACTGTTCCAGAATTGATCTCTATGATGAATAGTAGAGCAGCAATGATGGTCCATCAGGCTTCAAGGGGCATGACAGCTTCCATTTTGGTTGCTCTCTCATTCTCAGAGGGAAGTCAGCTGACATGGAGATTCCCACATGGCAAGAAACCAAGGCCTCCAGCCAACAGCCAGTAAAAAAACTGATGCCCACCAACAACTCTGTGAGTTAGCTTAAAGTGTGTTCTACAACTCCACTTGAACTTTGAAACTACTGTAGCCCCAGCAACCTGACTACATCCTGGTAAGGGATCTTGCATCAGAAATACCCAGCCTAACCCCACCCAGGACTTGAGAATGTTTGCTGTTTGAATTTTTTTTTTTTTTACAGTGCTGGGGGTTGAATACAGAACCTTGCACATACTAGGCAAGTGTTCTACAAGTGGGCTCCACCAGCTGTCTGTTTTGTTTTAAACAGTTGAGTTTTGGGGTAGTTTGTTTTTCAATGATTGATAACTAATACAATTAACTAATACAATCATCTTGGTGATGTGATTGGTTGGATATGGAGAATTGCCTTGTAACTAAGCTTGTAACTTAATAGTGCTGAGTGCTGGCACTATCATCAAATTGCAAATTTGGTAAAATATTAAACCCCAAGGCTTGAAAGATGTCAATTTGAAGTCAGAGATATGAAAGTTTGTTGTAGATTTACATAAATATTTTCCAATGAATTGCACTCAACGATCAGGTCTAACCAGTTTAACTTCAGATTGTTAAAAACAGAACAGATAGGGCTAGGGATATGGCTCAGTGGTAGAGTACTTGCCTGGGTTCAATTGTCAGTACTACAAACAAACAAACCAAAATGAACAGTTGTACCTGACTAACTGCTCATTGTTCACAGAGTTATACTTGAGGACAAATAGAAATGACCATATTGGTCAACAAAGCTGTCCTTAAGAGTGAGCCTCTGCCTGCATCTTCCCATATCATACTTGTCAGAAAAACCTTTATAATAGACCAACTTAGTCCCTGGAAACTTAGAAAGCAATTAAATGAAGAGGCAACTTTTTTCTGTCCTAAAAAAACAAACAAACAAAAAAAAACTCTTCTAATGAAGGTTCCAGCTACTACTTTTAAACAAAATGTAGATCAACATTTGCTTTTAAGATTCTAAAATTTCTATCATTACCACCATCCTACAAGATGGAGAAGATTCTAGGGAAGAAGAGATGAAGGTTGGAAATGAAGGTTAAGAGGAGGAGTGTATTCACAAGAGTAACCTCCAAACTCACTCTACTGCCATCAGGAATAAACCCAAGATCATTCAAGCAGTGCATAGATTACAGTTCAAGAGACCAACTGGCAATGAGACCCAATTTGGAGATCTGTGATTGATTCAGTTGTCCAGAATATAAAATGGAAATGAGAAAGTGCCTTGTTCAGGATTTGAAGAAATAAGGCAGCAAAAGACTGAGACCAGTGAAACAAGAGATTTGAGTTCCAGAGAAGAAAATGCTTGATTGTGGGAGACAGAGCAACCATAAAGGAATTGAGTGAGAATAACACCAGCTTCCATTTGTGGGACACTTATCAGACACTAGACACTGTACTAAGCACTGTACTACACACATTTCATTTATTATTTTATTCAATTTTTAAAACAGTTCTGTCTCTTGTTAGATATTATTATCCTTGTGTTACAGATTAGGACTGAGCCTTAGAGTAGCAAAGTAGTTTGCCTGAAATTACACTGTCAATAAATTGTACAGTTAATATTAAAACCCATATCTGCTCACCACCCCACCCCACCCTCTGGACCTTGAAAACACAAAAGACAGTGAAGATGTGTAATTGTAATAATTTTTGCAGAAAACAGGATAGAGACTTTCTATATGAGAGGAAAACCTTTATTGCCTATATCTTAAGGTCTTAGAAAATAGCAGGTAGAAGCAAAAGTAACTAGCATGTTCAAGTATAGAATATTGGAAGTATAGTTAGCCAAGACTCTGTACTTTAAATTGACCTAAGAGAAACCTTTCTGCAGTTGTATGATACCCAGTGTGAATTATCTGCCAAGTTCCCACATATCCACCATGGGAAAGGACCTATGTGGGTGGTGATCTGGTCTTCTCCCATAGTCTAATTGTCCCAATGTCTCTGTCAGACCAAAAGGTTAGTGAGGCAGAGACTGTCTCATTAGCCAAATAAACCTCTTTAATTTTTAAATTATCAGCCTCCAGTTATTTTTTATAACAACACAAAATAGACTAAGACATAAGTTGATGTTCAGGATTTATCTGTGAAAAATGAAAGCACAACATTTTAAAATATATGGTTTGAGTAAAAGTAATTCTTATGGGGAAATTTTCAGCATTGATGCTAATATTAAGGGAAAAAAACTCAAGACCAGTGTTCTCAGCTCCTACCTTAATAAACTAGTAGAAGAGTAAATTAAATCCACAATAAGCAGAAGAAAGAAAATAATCAAGATCATAGTAGAAATATATAAATTTTAAAAAATAGGAAAACAATAGTGAAAATAAAACCAAAAGTTAGCTATTTGAGAAAATCAATAAAATTGATAAACCTCTAACCAAACTGTTCAGGAGAACAAAAAAACAAACAAAAAATAGGATATGAAGTTCCAATATCTGGAATGAGAGATTGGATATCCCAACAGATCCTATAAATAATAACAGGGTGATAAGAGAATACTATGAATAATTGTATTCTAAAAAACTCAGCAACTTATGTGAAGTGAAACAATTCTTTGAAAGACAAACTACCAAAGCTCATTCTAAAAGAAATGGATAACCTGAATAGAACTGTATCTATGAAAATTATGCTATTTGTAATTTTAAAAATCTCAGAAAGAAAATTTCAGGTTCTGGTAAATTCTACCAAATATTTAAGGAAACATTTCCAGAATGAATGAATAAAAAGTGGATCTAAGAATGACAGAGAGCTAGAAAAAGACAAACGGTGGGGTGGGGGGAAGAGCCAGAGGAGCCTCAGACAAATGATTGCTGAGCTACCTTTGGGTAAGGTTTTTCCCAATGGCCTAACAAAGAAGGCTTGGTGGCTAATCTCAGAACTCTTGTATAGTGACACATGTATATGGGTCTGCATGTGTACAAATCATTAGCAAGATGTCCCTATAGCATTACTTCCTGCCAGTTTTGTTCTTCTGTAATACACTTGCTCTCACATTTATAAAGTTTTGAATAAAAAAAAAAAATTCTTCAGAAATTGTTAAGGAGACCCAGGTAGATCCAGATGCTCTGTGTATTCACCATCCTGGTATTTGTCTAAGCACTCAGTAAACATTGACCACTAACTCACTATGCACCAGAGACTTGCTTCTAAGATCTGGAGATGAAAAGTCCAGTAAGTTACATTTCCTACTATAACAAGCTCTCTACCTAAAGGAATTTACAGATTCTGAACTCAAGGTTTACCACGTGACAGCTAGTGCTATAATTAAGGAAGTCACCAAAGGCTATAAGAACACACATAGGTCTCTGAAGAACATGCTTGAACTGAGTTTTGAGGTGGGAGTGGAAGTTAACTAGAGGAAGAAAAAGAAAAAGGCATTCGGATATCACCTGCCTTGGCCTGGAGACTGGACTACACTTCCACTTTGGAGAACAACAAGCAACACATCAGGACTAGAGCAGAACAGAGAGGTGGGAGATGATGCCAGGAAGCCAGGCTGGATGGGGGTTAGGCAGGAAGTGTGGTTTTCACCCCAGAAATGACAGGGATCCAGTGAAGAAGGTAAGCCAATGAGCAAGAGGCTCACACTTGAGTTTTAGATAATCCTACTGGTGGAAATGAATCAGTGTGAGACCACACTGAGAGCAAGAAGGTGAGTTCTGAGGAACTTTCAAGAAATTTGAGAAGGAAAGGATGAAAGTCTGAACCAAGATAATGTAACATAAGAATCCATCCAAGAGATATAAGGTTTCACCAGAGTGGACAAATTAGGAAAGTGGCATGCCTCTGGACAGGGCACGGTCCTTTCTGTGTGCATTGCCCCTCACCAACCTCCTGCTCTCACACAATTGAGAAGAGCAAGAATGAATCAGGTGTGGTGCTGGGTGGTTTCCTCTGTCACCCAATCCTATCAGTAACTGTCTGAAAATGTAGTACATCCCCATTTTACAGATCAGGCATTCAGGGCTTCTGGAACTTCTTGACTCAAACTTTGAACAGTATAGCATCTTCTAATTAATCTGGTTAAACATAGCATCTTTCATCTCTAACTCACCTCATTGCCAGAAAGGTGGTACATCCTGGCTTCCTGGAGCAGTGGGAAGACCTCTGGGCACTGTCTGATGAGAGGATCTGCTTCGACCGTCTCCACAAAGTACCACGGGTCCAGAAGTGGCAAGCGCACGTTCTCGAGAACACAGGGGAGCAAGCAGAGTCGCTCTGACTGTTTGTGGCGGACCCAGCTCATCACAGTCTCAAACACCTGAGCTTCCTCAGTCACATAAAGGTCGTCACTCTTCAAGATGTGGTACAGAGTGTCCACGGGAAGTTCAAGGAACTCCTCGGAGTTCAGAATCTGCACAAAGTTTTGAATGATGTAATTCTGAACTTGCTTCTTTAGACTGTCCAAAGAGTGTGTGTCTGCCAACCTCAGGATTCCAACACAGTTTTCTGGGTTCAAGGCTTCTGTGAGGAAGCTGGCGCAGGCATCCACCATCCGCAGGAACTAATGGAATAGAAGGGAGCAAATCAGGCCAGAAAGTGGACTGCCACAAGGATGTTTATCAGTGAGCTGTGTAGAGTAGCAAAAGCAGAAACAACCAAAACGTCCAACAACAGCCTAGATAAATTAATGATACATTGCTCTAGTCAACAACTCCATAATCATTTAAAAAAACACACATTATCATAGGATAATAAATGATGTGGAAGATATTTATAGTGTATTGAGGTTTTTTTTTTAAATCTATCACTGAATCTAATTGAGCCTAGATTTATTTATTTGTTTGTTTGTTTGTTTATTTATTTATTTATTTATTTTTGCAGAGCTGGGGATCAAACCCAGGACATCACCCATGCAAGGCAAATACTCTACTACTGAGCTACATCCCTAGCCCAAGTCTCTAGGTTTAATAAACCATTTACTGGAAATACAGTGGAAAGAGGAACATGCTAAGTGACACCATAAAAACACAATCAGCAAAATCCAGACTGTGGGAAATTCCCCAGGACAACTGATTCCGTTTCCTCAACAAAAATATTTACAAGAGCAAAAAGAGAAGGAGAGGGCAAACCTAAAGATAAAGAGATTTAAGAGACGTATCAACCTACTGCAAACTAAGTCTCCTGCAAAATTAAATCTCTGATTTAAATAAAGAATAAAATACTGTTGGAGAAATGTTGATAATGACTAATATTTGGTGATATGAAGAAATTATTAATTTTAGTATTATTGATTTTGGTACTATGAGTATTTTAAGAAAAAAAATACTTATCTTTTAAATCCTTATTTTCTAAGATTATATGCTGAAATTGTTGCAGATGAGAAAAGCATTTCACCAAATAATATGCTCATTTACAAGTCTATTTTTATAGAGAAAAATATATATGATGTAATCACTGAATAAAATAGACTAAAGATTAACAGTGTTATTTCCCTGTGCATCAATATAGGTATCTTAGGACAGATTATACTGCAGTAGCAAACAACCTTCACACCTCAGGGGCTCACAAAAGAAACGATTATCTCTCACTGTTACTGTGTGTCCTTCACAGGGCTCTTTATTCCAGGACCCAGATGAAGGAAAAGCTCATAACTGAAATATGCTGGTCTCATGACAGAAGGGGAAGAAAGATGGCAGAACCACACAAGAGCTCTTAGAGCTTCAGTGGTGGCTCTGTGCTATTTGCATTCACACTTAACTAGCCACAGTAAGTCATACAGCAAAATTCACCACCAAAGGAACAATAGTCCTCCCACATAAACAGGTCCCACAGAGATGGATAAGGTATTCAGTAAGAACTGTAATCCAAGGAACCACACTCTCTAATTAGACTATGAGAATTTTTTTCCTATCTTTATTTGCAATATATATATATATATATATATATATATATATCCTCTAAAGTGAATTAGTATCACTTCAATAGTTAAAAATTAATTGGTAGAATTATTGATTGGCTTCCATATCCCAGTTTAACTTATCATCATCCTCATGAGAATCTTAGTCTTTTGTGTTCGGACAGCACTTTACAGATTTTGAAGCAGTGTCATATCCATTATATTATTTAATGCCCATTTTACAGATGAGTTGTCTCAGATGCATCATCAGTCCATTCTTATTTGTTGTTCTATGGAGCTTAGCTTTTATCAAGTGCAGTCTCCTATCTTCCCTCTTTGTCCACTGGGCCCCTTGAAGGGTCGAGTTCACAGTGTGCTTGGGCAGGTCTATTAATGGAAGGAGAGGAAAGTGAAAGGCTGAGAGGAAGGGCATGGTGGAGAAGGCAGGTTCTGGTGAGAGGATGGATGGGACAGATCTGGCCAGGCAGGGGTGAAGTGTGCAGAGGAGGGATCTGGTGATAGGATATGGGGTGGAAGGGACATAGGACTGTGGAATCTGAGGGAAAGGGTAGGTACAGGAGTGGTCTTAGAGTGGACTGAGTTGACTCAGGTTCAGAGCATCCTGGAGACATGCATCCCTGACTTTCTGAATTGATTTCAACTGCAAAATATAATCTTTCCATATCAGACCACATCTTCCCACTGTCCATTTAGAAAATATTTCCCTGGGATTCAAAGTAAAGTTGGAGAAAGCACAACTTCTGCCTCAGTCCTCTTGTCTGTGGCTCCAACAGCTCTGCTCCTCGCTTGAGCAACTGTGTCAACGGTTGAGACCCAGAAGTCTAACACCTGTTCAGCTGTTTGCAAATTTTCAATTCAAAGAACAAAAATACACAACCAAGACCAAGTATCACCGAGCCCTCAGAACTTGCCACTAGAGTCCTATCTGGCCCTGCCCATGAAGACATCTGAGAGCTAAAAGGAAACTCTCTTAAACCGCGGCCTCCAGTGAAGACACCGTATCCACCATGCTAGCTTCACATGAGAGGAAGACGATATGAAGTTAAACAGATATTTCTAGAAATTTAGACTCTCCATAGGGTGCCATTTAAGGCCTGGTAGCACTGGTTGTCTCTAGGAAAGGAACCTAATGGCTGGGTTCAGGGTCAAAGGGAGAATTACTTTTCATTGCTTACCCTTTTGTAGCCTCTCTCATTGTGTATAGGAATTACCTTTTTAAAATAGACAAAGTTTCTCAGGAGCAAAGACCATAACAGGAAATACACAAAATGCTAATAATGATTGTAGATAAAATGTTTTGTTTGACTTTTTAATATTTTGCTGTATAGACAATGTTTTCCATACCAAACATGACCATTTTAAAATCAAGGAAAACTTACAAAAATATTTTTTATGGTTTTAAAGTACACAATGAGAAAAAAATCAACTTAAATGTAAAAAAACAAAACAAAGACACCTACTATATGCCAAACTCTTTATACTAAGAGTTATTTAATCATCACAATAACATGATGAAATAGATATTTGGGATCATTCCTTGTTTACAGATGAAGCTAATAAGAAATAGAGCCAGGGCTGGGGTTGTAGCTCAGTGGTAGAGTGCTCACCTAGCATGCATGAGGCACTGGGTTCGATCCTCAGCACCCACATTTAAAAAATAATAATAAAGATATTGTGTCCATCTAAAACTAAAAAATAAGTACTTTTAAAAAAAGAAATAGAGTAAAAGAATGAACTAATCTCATCTAATTCCAAAACTGTGTGTTTTTGCATTATTTCAAGGTGCTTCAGGTCAAATAACATGTGGAAGATGGGGGGGAGGGGGCGGGGGGGGGGATAGGGACTGGCAGATCATTTGTACACTTCACCACAGAGCTCAATCTAATCTGCCCCGACACAGGAAGGATGGACCAACAAGATGCCAATTTCCATCCCTGTGTGACACCCATTGATAAATGAAAAAGGAAACAGAGACAAAATCAAATCAAGTACTAAAGCCCATGTTTGTTAGAAACATTGATCCAAGCTTGTCTCTTTCCACTCTGAAACTGTTAATTCAGCCATTAATCTACCTGTTCATAAACCAATATATATTGAGTATCCATTAAGCTGGACATTCTTGACTCATGCTAGATACAGATGGTTCCTGGGACATGAGAGCTGATAGACCAGAGGAACAGAAGACACTAATCAATTAATCACACAAAGAATGTACAATTACAACTGTGACCAGTGCTATGTACCCAAGTCCAGTGAGTCCACTGTCTGAAACCAAAAATAGTCCTCCTCCAACCCCTCAAAGCCTTCCACAAGCTGGCTCTTGACATCACCATGACCCTCCCTCACAGTGCTGCAGCCACAGCTAGACCCATTGTCTCACCTCCAGACATTCCCTGAGAATCCCTGTTGTGCCTTCTGATGCTCACGCCATCTGCTTGGCCCGCACAATCCTGCTTTTCCAAGACTCTGTTAAAATCCCACATTCCTCAAGAGCCTGACTTTTAAGGAATGACTCAGAATAGCTCACCTGATTTTTCAACACAGGTTTCTTTTAAGTTTACCCAAGAAGGAGGAAGAGGTGATGATACCTGATGACATTACCATGCTGAGGATCGAAGACCTCCATAGGGATGTTTTCTTCACTCACAGGTATTAAAGCAGAGACCAATGGTTTGGCTTCAGACAGTCTGTAAACCCCTACAAGTGTACACAAACCCTTGTTTGTGCATGTAGCATTTTTCTGAGAACTGAGTTTTCAGAGGACATTGAGTTACTCCCTGGTATCCATCCACCTGAGGACAGAGCCAACAAATGAGGGAGAGCCCTGTCTGGTTAGGCTAGGCTTGGAACCTTCCCCAACTCTGAACATTTTAAATTCTGGGTCAAAATTGTGTAAAAAGAAAGGAGGGGGCTGGGGATGTGGCTGAAGCGGTAGCACGCTGGCCTGGCATGCGCAGGGTGCTGGGTTCGATCCTCAGCACCACATAAAAATAAAATAAAGATGTTGTGTCCATCGAAAACTAAAAAATAAATATTAAAAAAAAGAAAGGAGGGAAATGGAAAATCAGGGGATGGAAAAGAAGTAGACAAATTCTACCTCTCTATGGAGTTTTTTTTTTTTCTCCCTCTTTGATAGCTTCCAATTCCCCAACACAAAGTGAATTCTTCTCTCCTCTCTGCTCCACTGGGTTATGCCTGCCCCTTCTGTGGAGCACCTGTGTTCTGCCTTGCACTCTGGCCAGTTGAGACTAGCATCTCAAAGGTGGGTTCTAGGTCATATTTGTGTTTTTATTTCCAGCAGCAACAAAAGAAGAGAAAGGGGGGAAGGAGAGATAGAAGGAACCATTTCTCAGACACCTAGCATGTACTAAGATCTATGCTAAGCACTTTTCTATCTGTTATTTCATTCAACAAGTAAACAAAGAGGATATTAGTATTACCATTTGTATAGAAGAAAGAGTCAAGAATTCAGAGTTAAGAATGTTGCCCGAGGGCTGAAGTTTTGGCTCATTGGTAGAGCTCTTGCATGTGAGGCACTGGGTTCAATCCTTAGCATCACATTAAAAAATTAAATAAACAAAATAGAGGTATTGTGTCCATCCACAAATATATATATATATATATATATATATATATATATACAC